TCTGCACTTCCAGCCACAACTTCCAGGAGAAATATTAACAAAAAAAAAAAAAAAAAAAAAAAAAAAAGTAGGGATAGTAAATGAACATTTTGACTAAAATAAAATAGTTCACTTTTTTCAAACCTTTCAAAGAAAACTAAACTTCTAGAAGGTCCTACTGTAATGGAACTGCAAAATGGAACTGTGAAAGTTAGATTTTTTCCTTTAGCATCCAGTGGCCTCCATACTTCCTCAGGCCTAGGGCATAAATGGCTCCCCAGCAAAGAGAGAATATGCACACCCAATTTCATTTCCCAAGGTGGGGATCTGGGTCCAGGAAGGGTTGGAACTAGGCTGAAAATGTCTACTGTTCCATCATTGGCCATGGCAGAAATGCAAATTAAAACAATACCAAGATTGTATCTCTTTCCAGAAAGAATCGCTATCCTCAAGAAATCAAATTGTAACAAATGCCAGAGAGGCTGGGGTGGGGAGGCTTCTTCATAGTCAGTGGGAGTGTAAAGTGGTATAACGAGCATGCAAATCATTATGGAGAATCCGAGAAAACCTCAAAGTGGAATTCATTTGACCCAGCTACAGCCCTTCTAGGTATCTTCCCCAAAGAGCTAAAAGACATCTATTGTCATTTGGTGATTCATGCTACCCATTATTATAGCAGCACAATTCCTAACAGCTAACCTTGGAAGCAGTCTACACGCCCATCAACAGATGAATGGATAAAGAAAATGTGGTATCTATACAGAAGGAAATACCGCTCTGCCATAAGAAGGATAAACGAGGCATTTGTAAGAAAATAGATGCACCTTGAGGCCATAATGTTATGTGAAGTAAATGAGACATATAAACTTAAATATCGAATGGTTATTCGAATAGTTATTTACATGGGAAACCCTCTACATAAAGTATGAGATAAAAGAGAGACAATAGGAAAAGAGAGAACAGTTATTGTAATCTAGCACAGTCAATGTATCGAAAAGTGTACCCTGATTTAGTACAATTATTTTATATGCTTTTTGGTCTGTTAGTCTAGCTGTTAATCTCTGTTTATGATAATTAACTTGATGAAGATTTCTAAATAAATAAATAAATCTGATGCTGGCAAAAAAAGATGTTATGTACACGTACCAACTCCCACAGTAAATATAATCTCTATGTACTACAAAAAGGTAGCGGTAAATTTTTTTAAATGTCTATTCTTCATTGTATTCCCTCCTACTCTGTTCCTTGTTACATTATATGCAGACATACTTGTACACGCAAGGTGGTGATTTGAAGCAAATAGGCTATTCCATCTCCTCAGAGTAAGCACTGAATAAATTCTTTTTACCCAAATAGATGGCTTCCTTTGAGTTGGTCAGCAGCAAGCAGACAACTGGAGTTATAAACTAAGCGGCCAGTAACACTACCTTCAACAACACAACTCTGATTGGGGAACTATTAAGGGATCAAGGGAGGCACAAACTACCAAATTTAACATTTACTGAATCCTTACTAGGTACTTATGATTTTACATACAATATTTTCATCATACCTTACAATTTCTTTCTGGAATATGCTTGTTAGCCCTCTTTAATACATGAGATATTGAGGGGAGAGGTAAGGTAATTTTTCAAAGGTCACAAAGCAAGTAAGTGGCAAAATTACACTCCAGAACCAAATAAATTTTACATCAAAGCCCAGGATCTTTCTATTGTATCATACTGCTAGAAGTAGATAAAGTGTCTCTACTTCCAAAATGTTTATAGTCTAGGTAAGATAACACACACACACACACACACAAACACACGAAGGAAAAACGTTAACAAATGTTAATAAAACATAACTGACGATGCTGATGAGATGGATTACAAGGCACTAGAAAAGAGGAAAAATAATTTCTAAGCTAGAAGGCTTTTTTAGAATTAGACTATTAGACTACTAAAGTTGAAAGAGCAGTAAATAAGCAAAAGTTTTAAACTTTCAATTTGAAAAGTCACACTTAGAGAGTTACCAGTTGTCTTAGATACTTCCTCATTGCTGGGACAAAATACCTAAAATCAAACAATAAGTAAACCCTCCTTTAACCCGTAAGTTAAAGGAGGAAGGGTTTATTTTATTGCCCAGGTTATAGAGGTTTCAGTCCGTACTCAGCTGGCTCCAAGACAGGGCAGCACTGCAGAAGGGGCTGGCAGAGGAGAAACAGTCCCTAGCAGGGTAGGCAAGAAGCATCAAGCGCCCAGCCTCGCTTCCCACTCTACCTTTATATTCCACCCAGACGACAAACCCACGGTTGGCTCCACCTGCACCCAGGGCAGGTGTCTTGGTTACTTTCCTCTTGTTGCTGGGACAAAATACCTGACACCCAAAATTTAGGAAGGAGAGGTTTATTTCGCTTCCAGTTTGTGGAGGTTTCCGTCCATACTTGGTAGGTTACAAGGCAGAGTGGCACATGGCAGAGGGCTACAGCTCATGCGGCAGAACACAGCAAAAGCAACAAAACACAAAAGGGAGGAATGGCCACAAGCAGCCTCTTCCTCTCCCTTACATGTGCAAACTATCCAGGGTGGGTGTAGCTCTCACACCCATAATCAATCAAACTCTAAAAGCCTGCCCCCTGACTGCATGAGGCTTTGGGGGGACACCCAGACACAAACCATAACAGCAGAGCATTCTTCTTCAGTAAATCCATTCAGTCACACCCAAAACTATGCCAGTCCAGCCAGTGTGTTAATCCACTTATCACATACCCTTAATCCAGTATCACACACCCTAGACCAAGTCATCTCTGAAAAGTCCCACATATGAGCACATGAGATTTTGCGGGTGGGGTATCTAGATACAAGCTATAACTCTAGTTACATATTTTATATTTGAGGCAAATCTAAATTCACCCATAAATAATACTTGAAGACACCTAATTCTACGAGACTACCTGTCCCAACTTGTCTGAGGCAATCTCCTTTCACAAGTGACTCAATATAATTACTAATAATTAAATGCCTGTGATCAGAATACAAAAAGAAATGAAAATACTAAATAGATTAGCATAATAAGGAAACAGGTAATAACAACTCAAAGGGTAATTTTTGAGCACTCTTGAAGTCAGATACTATGCTGGAATCAGTGTCACACGCTGTTCCTAGGTTACTCCCCGGGATAAGTGGGAGTAACCTAAGAGCAGCATTGTATTGCACACATGCCCTGGGAAGCAAGGCAAGAGTCTTCAAAGCAAAGGAAATCCATGAGCAAAGGTCTGGGCGACTGAGTCACAGCCA